TTGAGTAAAAGTAAAGATACCTTAATGGAAAATGACTTGAGTAAAAGTGAAAGTCACCCAGTAAAATAATACTTGAGTAAAAGTATCTGGTTTTAAATGTACAGTGGTGGAAAAAGTACTCAATTGTCATACTTGAACAAAATTAAATGCAATACATCAAATTCCTTATATTAAGCAGACCAAATAGCATGATTTTATATTTACAGATGGGCACACACCAACACACAGACATACAGTTGAAGTCGGAAGTTTACATACACTTAGGTTGGAGTCATTAAAACTCGTTTTTCAACGACTCCACAAATGTGTTGTTAACAAACTATAGTTTTGGCAAGTCGGTTAGGACATCTACTTTGTGCATGACACAAGTAATTTTTCCAACAATTGTTTACAGACAGATTATTTCACTTATAATTCACTGTATCACAATTCCAGTGGGTCAGAAGTTTACATACACTAAGTTGACTGTGCCTTTAAACAGCTTAGAAAATTGGCTTTAGAAGCTTCTGATAGCTAATTGACATCATTTGAGTCAATTGGAGGTGTACCTGTGGATGTATTTCAAGGCCTACCTTCAAACTCAGTGCCTCTTTGCTTGACATCATGGGGAAATCAAAAGAAATCAGCCAAGACCTCAGAAAAATAATTGTAGACCTCCGCAAGTCTGGTTCATCCTTGGAAGCAATTTCTAAATGCCTGAAGGTACCACGTTCATCTGTACAAACAATAGTACGCAAGTAAAAACACCATGGGACCACGCAGCCGTCATACCGCTCAGGAAGGAGACACGTTCTGTCTCCTAGAGATTAACGTACTTTGGTGCGGAAAGTGCAAATCAATCCCAGAACAACAGCAAAGGACCTTGTGAAGATGCTGGAGGAAACAGGTACAAAAGTATCTATATCCACAGTAAAACAAGTCCTATATCGACATAACCTGAAAGGCCGCTCAGCAAGGAAGAAGCCACTGCTCCAAAACCGCCATTAAAAAGCCAGACTACGGTTTGCAACTGCACATGGGGACAAAGATCATACTTTTTGGAGAAATGTCCTCTGGTCTGATGAAACAAAAATATAACTGTTTGGCCATAATGACCATTGTTATGTTTGGAGGAAAAGGGGGGTTGCTTGCAAGTCGAAGAACACCATCCCATCCGTGAAGCACGGGGGTGGCAGCATCATGCTGTGGGGGTGCTTTGCTGCAGGAGGGACTGGTGCACTTCACAAAATAGATGGCATCATGAGGAAGGAAAATTATGTGGATATATTGAAGTAACATCTCAAGACATCAGTCAGGAAGTTAAAGCTTGGATCTTCGAAATGGACAATGACCCGAAGCATACTTCCAAAGTTGTGGCAAAATGGCTTAAGGACAACAAAGTCAAGGTATCTGAGTGGCCATCACAAAGCCCTGACCTCAATCCTATAGAACATTTGTGGGCAGAACTGAAAAAGTGTGTGCGAGCAAGGAGGCCTACAAACCTGACTCAGTTACACCAGCTCTGTCAGGAGGAATGGGCCAAAATTCACCCAACTTATTGTGGGAAGCTTGTGGAAGGCTACCCGAAACATTTGACCCAAGTTAAACAATTTAAAGGCATTGCTAACAAATACTAATTGAGTGTATGTAAACTTCTGACCCACTGGGAATGTGATGAAATAAATAAAAGCTGAAATAATCATTCTCTCTACTATTATTCTGACATTTCACATTCTTAAAAGAAAGTGGTGATCCTAACTGACCTTAGACAGGGATTTTTTACTAGGATTAAATGTCAGCAATTATGAAAAACTGAGTTTAAATGTAGGTGGCTAAGGTGTATGTAAACCTTAGCCAACTACTGTAATTTACAAACACAGATCAGAGGCAGTAGGGATGACAACGTGTTATATTGATAGGTGTGTGAATTCGACCATACTGCTGTCTTGTATGAGCATTCATACATTCAAAATGTAATGAGTACTTTTGGGTTTCAGGAAAAATGTATGGGAGTAAAAAGTACATATTTCCTTTAGGAATGTAGTAGAGTAAAAGTAGTCAAAATATAAATAGTTAAGATACCCCCCAAAACTACTTAAGTAGTACTTTAAAGTGTTTTTACTTAAGTACTTTACACCACTGAATGTGGTATCCAGGAGGTATGGCTACTTGGTATCAGGCTGATATATCTTCTGGTATTTTGGGACAAACAACTCTGCTTTGTCTAACTCAAATTTCCACCTTGACAGCCTTTAATATTACCAGGTTTTGTATTATGTAACCCTGTTAGCTGCAATTCACAAGCCAGGTGGTGCAACACTTTTGATTTTCACTACCTTTGAAAAGGTGACCCAAATGTTGTTTGCATTGCAGACAGTAGGGGCAAGTCAGGCAACCCCATATGGGATTCTGCTGCAGTCTGACAGCTGATGATGGAGATATTAGATCATTTGCATGTGCTTCCCAGGTAAAAATATAGGTATGTTTGACAGCGTAGTCAAATTATTACCAGAGACAGCATTTCCCCTATGCTACTTCCCCCAGAAGAGAGCAAGCTAACCTCATCACTCCAATGCAAAGATGGTCATAGCTCGGGCAGAAAGGGGGGGGGGATGTGATCAGCACATCACAGGAATTGGTATAGTCCTCCACATAGGCCTCATGTAAAAGTGTGTGGCGTTAACCAGAATCCTCACAGCTCAAAGCCATGCCTACACAGGCAATCTGAGAATTTACATGATGGTCCAACCCCTCACTCCCCTGCAATGTTACTTTACTCCTGTGTTGCTGTTGTTCCTCACTGCTGAACACTCCCCTAAGGTTTCCCTCTTATGTCATTCAAAACATACACTTGAAACATTATGGGATGAGAACAAATCAATGCAATAATTTAACTTTGTCTTGTATCTATTCATTTGCTACACTTGTGTTTGTGCACAAAATGCCAATGATGTATGCCCCCATACAAAAACAGAAAGTATTTAGAATTATGCTGATGAATCAATCCTGATATTGAATGTTTATTATTAGGCACTATAATTTATTGAGAATGCTCACATGGAAATTGATCTCCAATAAGAGTCATCACATGGATTGATTAAGGTCACCAAACTAAATGGAAAAAATGTATCAGCCAAGTGAAAATGTTAAGCCACTTCAAAGACTAGCAACATTCTATTTGTATGGCTTCCACCATTCTATTTATATGGCTTCCAACATTCTATTTATATGGATGCCACTATCCAAAACTATGTAACCTATACATGTCATTCTATAAAGACAGGTTTTAAGGTGATGACATTCACAATATAGCTCTTTCTAGAAAACAATATCAAATACATGTCATCTGACAAAAGAGAAATAAATGGTTTGAGGATACAAGCACATTGCACACATACATCATGAATGTAAAATAATGAAAATAAATAAAATGAAATAAAGCAGAGGCCACTCAGTAACTCTTAATCATATACAGTGGGGAGAACAAGTATTAGATACACTGCCGATTTTGCAGGTTTAGAGGTCTGTAATTTTTATCATAGGTACACTTCAACTGTGAGAGACAGAATCTAAAACAAAAATCCAGAAAATCATATTGTATGATTTTTAAGTAATTAATTTGTATTTTATCGCATGACATAAGTATTTGATCACCTACCAACCAGTAAGAATTCCGGCTCTCACAGACCTGTTAGTTTTTCTTTAAGAAGCCCTCCTGTTCTCCACTCATTACCTGTATTAACTGCACCTGTTTGAACTCGTTACCTGTATAAAAGACACCTGTCCACACACTCAATCAAACAGACTCCAACCTCTCCACAATGGCCAAGACCAGAGAGCAGTGTAAGGACATCAGGGATAAAATTGTAGACCTGCACAAGGCTGGTATGGGCTACAGGACAATAGGCAAGCAGCTTGGTGAGAAGGCAACAACTGCTGGCGCAATTATTAGAAAAGGGAAGAAGTTCAAGATGACGGTCAATCACCCTCGGTCTGGGGCTCCATGCAAGATCTCACCTCGTGGGGCATCAAGGATCATGAGGAAGGTGAGGGATCTAGAACTACACGGCAGGACCTGGTCAATGACCTGAAGAGAGCTGGGACCACAGTCTCAAAGAAAACCATTAGTAACACACTACGCCATCATGGATTAAAATCCTGCAGCGCACGCAAGGTCCCCCTGCTCAAGCCAGCGCATGTCCAGGGCCGTCTGAAGTTTGCCAATGACCATCTGGATGATCCAGAGGAGGAATGGGAGAAGGTCATGTGGTCTGATGAGACAAAAATAGAGCTTTTTGGTCTAAACTTCGTGTTTGGAGTAAGAAGAAGGATGAGTACAACCCCAAGAACACCATCCCAACCGGAGGTGGAAACATCATTCTTTGGGGATGCTTTTCTGCAAAGGGGACAGGACGACTGCACCGTATTGAGGGGAGGATGGATGGGGCCATGTATCGCGAGATCTTGGCCAACAACCTCCTTCCTTCAGTAAGAGCATTGAAGATGGGTCGTGGCTGGGTCTTCCAGCATGACAACGACCCGAAACACACAGCCAGTGCAACTAAGGAGTGGCTCCGTAAGAAGCATCTCAAGGTCCTGGAGTGGCCTAGCCAGTCTCCAGACCTGAACCCAATAGAAAATCTTTGAAGGGAGCTGAAAGTCCGTATTGCCCAGCGACAGCCCCGAAACCTGAAGGATCTGGAGAAGGTCTGTATGGAGGAGTGGGCCAAAATCCATGCTGCAGTGTGTGCAAACCTGGTCAAGACCTACAGGAAACGTATGATCTCTGTAATTGCAAACAAAGGTTTCTGTACCAAATATTAAGCTCTGCTTTTCTGATGTATCAAATACTTATGTCATGCAATAAAATGCAAATTAATTACTTAAAAATCATACAATGTGATTTTCTGGATTTTTGTTATAGATTCCATCTCTCACATTTGAAGTGTACCTATGATAAAAATTACAGACCTCTACATGCTTTGTAAGTAGGAAAACCTGCAAAATCGGCAGTGTATCAAATACTTGTTCTCCCCACTGTAGCTTGGCGTTCAGTGCATTTTGGTTCCTTTGTTTTTAGTCACAGAGCTAACATTAACTGTGCAATAAAAACAACAATGCCCTTCAAACAGCTCATGAAGTTACCAAACATGTTTTATTCACTTCCGCCTCTGGACCTTAGAAGTAAAGTACACATAAATAGAATATAAATCTGATATTATCCAGTTGTGTCAGTCAGTACCTATTGATCCCAAATATTCGTACTCCATGGAACAGGGGCAGCTTTGGAAGGAGGACGCTGAGGAGAGAGCCTGTATTGACCAGGAAATGTGTGGCATCGTACTTGGTGTAGAAACTGGCAAGAATATACCTGAAGAATGAACAGCTAGTTTAGGGTTATTATTCAATGCTGTTAACAAACAAGGATACAATAATTCAATAGTTACTCTTCTACGTTCATTTATCATTGCAAGCCATAAGGAAAACCTAACAAAACAAATCTAGTATGCACAGATTTTCAGTCTTACAGCACAATGGGTGAGATGGTGAGGAATTTGCGTGAGGATGTAAACTGAATGCCGTAGTCCATCTGTTCCCAGTGTGTGAGTAGGCGAGCTTTGCCCTGGTCCGGTGTCTCAAAAGGGGTGCCTTTTACTGTGTGCAGAAACAAGTACATCACCTGTGGTGGACAGATCACACATAAACACACCTCTGTTAGATCAACAGACACACTCATTAGTCATTACAATGTCATAACACAAGCCCAAATTTTTCTGGATTTAGTTGAAATAGAAATGTATTTAAATGACAACATTTGATTGGAAAAATTATAAACAAACTATAAATACTTGGGCTGACCAGATTATGGATGACATTTGTGAGGGTCCAGACGAGAGGCACAGTGAGGACAGGGATGCTCAACAGGACGACGTGCAGCACGGTGACCAGCAACAGGTAGGCCAGCCAGATCCCTCTGCTGTTCATCACCCGTGTGTTGGGGTTCACCTCACTGTGAGCCACACCCACATTCATCCTGAGGGAACAGGGGATGATTACACATGATGGACATTGGACATTGAAGCTTGATACAGGCTTGATACAGAAAACATTGATGCTTAATAGAGGAAAGGAAGCTACAGGAACTAGGCCTACGGCTTGTCCCTCGCCAGATAATCATGTTGATTCAGAATGTGTTAGAAAATCCAAATTAATTTCTAGAATTTGAGTTTGATGTTAAATAGAAAAGTAGACTAAACTGATTTTTTTATTGGTATGGGAATAACAGACAATCTATAATTAAATTCTGTGAAAATGTTACAGAACAAAAGGAGAATGAGTACATCATTTGCATATTTCACAGAATTCCCTCAATTACTAATTTCACAGATCACAACAAGAGATGATGAGGTAGGCTATGTCAGATATAGAAAGTTGATGTCAAGTGGGAAGTAGAAATCTAGCCTAGTTCTCCTTCCCAGTGTGCCACTAGGCCAGGTAAAGTGACCATATTTTATTGCATCCTATTATAGTAGGTAGCTAGCTATTAACATATTGTAAATCTTCCAATTCCAATCCAAGTGGATTTGGGAAATTGAGAATTCCAAGAATTTTGCCACTGATCCCCACAGCCATAATGCTTCCCTCACAGACTAACTCCTAGGAGAACTAAAACTAACGTTAGCTAATATCTTGTTGTGGATATAGCAAGTGGGTCTAGCTTCAACTCATCTGACTGTATAGCTCATGCAACTTTAGGCCTAAATGGGTAACTACACTCAGGTCGTCACTAGTTACCACAGCCACAAAGTCATAAACCCCGCCTTTTCTACAATTGATCTTCTTAAAATATGATGTTTAACGTTAACCTTAACCACACTGCTAACATTATGCCAAACCATAACCTTAGATTAAGACCAAAAACCAAATTGTTGTTGTCATTAATTTTTACGACATAGCCAATTTGGGCTGTGGTAACTACTGGAAACACTACATTTGGTTAACTGGCTAAACTAGCTACTAGCTAGCTAACTACATAACAACAGCTGTTTGCGCCGTGAAAACTAAGATACATTTGCAAAATCTACTTACAGGGCGTTAGATTCTGTCAACTAGTGTGCTAACCCATTACATTTAGCATTTTAGATCAAACTTTCCTTACAATGTAGCTAGAAACTCACCTAGCTAGTTAGAAACTCACCTTATGTTGTAACCAGGAAATCCCTAAACATGCTCAATCCCGCCCCTGTTCGTTTTGGATTGGATGTAATGGTTTTACGTCATTTACAGTATCATACGTCTGATTTTACCGGACAACAGCTTCCGTTATAATAAAGTTATTATGAGTGTTCAGAAAATACAAAATGCATAAAACATATTTTTACACACTGTAAAAAGGGAAAAAGAAAATACAAAATAATTGTATTCAAATGGCGGTTGTTGATAATGTAATTAAATTAAACAATCCCCCTTGTCCTCTGTTGCCCTACCAAACATTTCATAGTCATTTTAATAAATAAACATAGGCTATTAAAAGTGTAGTCCTTAGTGTAAAATGGGATTCACAATATGCTACTGGTATTCTAAATATTAATTCACAGATTTAATGCAAAAAATATATACTTTTGCTGAACCATGAAATTGCATCTAAAAGCTTTTGTTTCCGTAAGACCGTTATGTCAGTGTGCTTTTTAATGAAATGTCAAGCGATCTGCCCGCGTCTTTCTTTTTCCCAACGCAGTTAAGCCAAAACCACGCCCCGTTATTCAGAGGGGCGTTCTACAACGCTTTTAGTGCTCTCCAAGTCCGGAAGTGAATTTCACGTAGCGCGAAATTTCAGTCACTGATTAACATTTGCCTTGTATTTCAAGATTGAAAAATATTTCAGTCGCTGATTAATAACATTAGCCTAAATCCTTAATACATACATATTTTTTCTATGCCAGTGGCTAACCACTCCCCTTTAGCATTTTGTCATTGATTGAGCCAGTAGGAACTTCAAGGGGAACATCATTTTACTTCATGTGCTTTATTCACTTTGGGTGAGAACTATTTGCATACACTGAGTCAGACAACTTGTGATGTCTAATTTCTGATGGCCTTTTCCTTTTAGCATGTGAACAGTATGGGTGCTCAGAGCCACTGTTCTGGCTTTTTGGTCGTCCAGTCGTGAGACGCCGTTTTGTACCAGCCTTCGTGGAACGACGGGCAACAGCTGTAGGCTGACAGGAAATTAATAGGGCCTGGTCGTCTGGCAGCTCTTCGGAGTGCTGCTGCGCTGTTGGCCGCTGGGCTGATGTGAGACTTCCCAAAGTAATGGATGGCTGACACAAGCCTTGATGGACTGCCTTGTTTGTTCCTCCAAGAAGGTGGCCATGTCTGCAAGTGAACATAGAAACTACTAAGATAGGACTACTAAGGTGCAATGGAGGTTGTATATTTGGATGGTTCAACTGCACTCAATATGGATGACAACACCATATACCATTATTTGAAAATAACAGTGGAAAACGATAACCCAAACAGAATACAAGTGCCACTCTAAATACTTTCCCTGTATTCATTCATGAAGATCTACTGTAAATATTGTGTTGGCACCTGTAAACAGCCTAAACAGGTGTATTGTATTTATTATCTGAATGTCTGCATGCCTTACATTTGCTCTATCCCACCGACAAAATATAATTTTACCCACTTCAATCATTACCTTGAAAATAATTGTATGTCCTTTCCTGGGTCTTGTTATGCTGACCCTCCATGTCACTCCAGTGTCTGTAGTCTTTAGAAGCCACTCATGTACAGTGGGGGAAAAAAAGTATTTAGTCAGCCACCAATTGTGCAAGTTCTCCCACTTAAAAAGATGAGAGAGGCCTGTAATTTTCATCATAGGTACACGTCAACTATGACAGACAAAATGAGGGAAAAAAATCCAGAAAATCACATTGTAGGATTTTTAATGAATTTATTTGCAAATTATGGTGGAAAATAAGTATTTGGTCAATAACAAAAGTTTCTCAATACTTTGTTATATACCCTTTGTTGGCAATGACACAGGTCAAACGTTTTCTGTAAGTCTTCACAAGGTTTTCACACACTGTTGCTAGTATTTTGGCCCATTCCTCCATGCTGATCGCCTCTAGAGCAGTGATGTTTTGGGGCTGTCGCTGGGCAACACGGACTTTCAACTCCCTCCAAAGATTTTCTATGGGGTTGAGATCTGGAGACTCCAGGACCTTGAAATGCTTCTTACGAAGCCACTCCTTCGTTGCCCGGGCGGTGTGTTTGGGATCATTGTCATGCTGAAAGACCCAGCCACGTTTCATCTTCAATGCCCTTGCTGATGGAAGGAGGTTTTCACTCAAAATCTCACGATACATGGCCCCATTCATTCTTTCCTTTACACGGATCAGTCGTCCTGGTCCCTTTGCAGAAAAACAGCCCCAAAGTATGATGTGTTCACTCCCATGCTTCACAGTAGGTATGGTGTTCTTTGGATGCAACTCAGCATTCTTTGTCCTCCAAACACAACGAGTTGAGTTTTTACCAAAAAGTTATATTTTGGTTTCATCTGACCATATGACATTCTCCCAATCCTCTTCTGGATGCACTCTAGCAAACTTCAGACGGGCCTGGACATGTACTGGCTTAAGCAGGGGGACACGTCTAGCACTGCAGGATTTGAGTCCCTGGCGGCGTAGTGTGTTACTGATGGTAGGCTTTGTTACTTTGGTCCCAGCGCTCTGCAGGTCATTCACTAGGTCCCCCCGTGTGGTTCTGGGATTTTTGCTCACCGTTCTTGTGATCATTTTGACCCCACGGGGTGAGATCTTGCGTGGAGCCCCAGATCGAGGGAGATTATCAGTGGTCTTGTATGTCTTCCATTTCCTAATAATTGCTCCCACAGTTGATTTCTTCAAACCAAGCTGCTTACCTATTGCAGATACAGTCTTCCCAGCCTGGTGCAGGTCTACACTTTTGTTTCTGGTGTCCTTTGACAGCTCTTTGGTCTTGGCCATAGTGGAGTTTGGAGTGTGACTGTTTGAGGTTGTGGACAGGTGTCTTTTATACTGATAACAAGTTCAAACAGGTGCCATTAATACAGGTAACGAGTGGAGGACAGAGGAGCCTCTTAAAGAAGAAGTTACAGGTCTGTGAGAGCCAGAAATATTGCTTGTTTGTAGGTGACCAAATACTTATTTTCCACCATAATTTGCAAATAAATTCATTAAAAATCCTACAATGTGATTTTCTGGATTTTCTTTTCTCAATTTGTCTGTCATAGTTGACATGTACCTATGATGAAAATTACAGGCCTCTCTCATCTTTTTAAGTGGAAGAACTTGCACAATTGGTGGCTGACTAAATACTTTTTTTCCCCACTGTAACTCTTCAACAGAATTCACTCTTAGGCATAGGCTCAATTCAAAAGTTGAGTGGTCTCTGGGTAGGTCTCTCCACAAGTGAACAAATATGATATTTGTACCCAGGGCGTTGCCAACTCTAAATAGGAAAACAGTGTAACTTGATGTGTTGTGTGCTATAGTCAGAGCAACTTAAACAATTTTATAGAACTGATTAGCTAATAAATATTTGATTAGTTATGAATAGTAAGCATATGCTTTTACATGATAATAGACTACTAATGATAATATAACAACTTTAAATACCGAGCTAGTAACGTTAAGTAGCCTAGGTTAACTTAGCTGATCATTGAAACTCTGAAAATAAATACATGGGCAAATGTTACCAAACATGTTAATAATAGGCCTGCATTACGGTAGGCAGCTAATTGTTAAATTACACTTTCCATCCTTCCCTTGGAAGGTCACTGTCTCTCAGGGGTGTGTGTTCATCCATGTCTCTCAACAGGCTGCGAGGATTTGGGAAATCCTGTAACAGCCATCAGGGATTCCTCTATGACCTACCCGGCATAGATGATTCCTCTTTTCTGAGCTGTTGAATTATATTTTTCATTACAGTAGCCGGCCGCGACTGGGAGACCCATGGGGCGGCGCGCAATTGGCCCAGCGTCGTCTAGGGTAGGGGAGGGAATGGCCGGCAGGGATGTAGCTCAGTTGATAGAGCATGG